CCACGCTTTGATCACATGTTCTGCCGTCAGTTCGGAGTCCAGTGATACTTTCTTCACTCGGGGACCACACCCTTTGTAGTTAGGTGATAGAGGTAATCTTGATGTCGATTTAGCGATAACATTTTCTTGTGAGAGCACTTCACGGATAAAATGCCATTCATACCAGTCATGCACTTTGACCTCTGGCTCGCTTAGTGACTGGAGCTCAGGGACACCATGAACAAGGATAGATTTTGCGTCTTGTTGTTTTCGAAAGTCAGAACATTCTAACTTTGGTTGCGATTCCGCGAAATGGTGGTCTGCAAACCTTCGTATTTCTGAGAGTGCTGCTTTAGGCGCTATATCAAGTTTCTTGACTAAAACAGATAGAACACCACTAGGAAACTTTGGTTTGCATTCCAACCGTTGGCACCTTATTGAAACGGTTAAGTAAGCGGACAGCTGTGAAACCGAGGTACACCAATCTTTGCTAATGTATGTGCTCACACCACATCCGCGATTTGGGGGCTTTCTTGGGTAGTCGAATATAATGTGTCGATAGCCAATGAATTTCACAACTTCATCCTCAATGTCGAAATGTAAGAATCTTTCTTGTAACATCACTATACTTGCCTTACAGAAATCTCTTTGTTGTAAGAGGCTCTGGAGATCAACAATTTTTCTGAGAAGCGATCGGACATTACTGGACAAGAACGTGGGAATTGAATATTGTTGGCAGGACAGGGTCCGTGTACAACTTTCCAACCAGCGCGATGCTTTTGCTTCTTCCTCCCGAAATTTCTCTTGGCAATTCTTTTGGAAGCCTTTCTGATTTTGTGATCATTATCGACTAGAATTGAAGTGCGGAAAATTGCACGGAGCCAACTTAACAGAGAAATTTAACATTGCTAACCTTAAGTTGGTTCACTTAAACGAGTGATACAATAACTTGCAGAACTAGGAGGAATAAATATATCCGCAGTGAGTAGCGTAGAACAATCTTCCAGTCCCAACAGCAACGGTCGGATTTGAAGGCGCTGCCAATGTACTACCAGACTACTTTTCGATTTCTGCCTGTCTCTTGTAGACTTGTTCGGGAGCATCTGACAAGTGTCCTGCAGTAGTCAGTGACATAACAACTACTTTCGCCGCCCAGAGCGGACGTAAAATTGCCGCCCCTTCCTCGGCAGTTCTAAATCCGTAAACCTACACAATTGGGAACAGACATAATATCTTCGGATTCATATACCAAAAAATCAAATTAAAAGTACTGCTGTAAATGCGAATATTTGCATTGTTACAATACGCTTGAGCGAAATGTACATTTTTCGTGCATTACTTGAGGCAATGGTATTGATAACACCAACAAAGTTCATTCCATTCACGAATTCCCTCTCTATGGGGAGAAATGCCAACTCGTGAGCGTTTTCTGGTTTATCGATGATTAAAGATAGTTCGTTATGAGCTTGAGTTTTGAGAATGCGCTCTCACAGTTGACAGTGTAAATAATTCTTGTTAGAAAGATGCGCAGCAGACTATAAAAATGAAATTTCTGCATAAAGTTCAAAAGTTCATACGATCTATTAATTTCGTCGTTTTCTGAAGCTTCCACAAAATACTGAAATTTTCTCCTTTCGAAAAGGAATTCTTCTTTTCTATATCTTCCTCAATTTCGCTAAGTGAACAACCATGGTTACTAGCAAGCCGATTTAACGGTGTAAGAATAGTAAGGTCATGAATTTGTCGACATCTATAGCATTTTGTCAGTCAACCACTCTTTGATAGGCGTTTTTTGTTTTAACTCGTCTATATAACAAACAATTGTTTTCCGTCCATTCCTTTCTCTCGGCAGATTCGACAATTCCTCGCTCCCGCCAACTCAGCGCAATGTCTTTTTTGATTCAGCTATTTCAATATCAAGCATTTTCTTTCTGTTTTGTAGAAGGAAAACTGTTATTGTAAGCTTGACAGAACTTTGCGGCAGATCCATCCCCTTTTGTTTAGACATTTATATGCATCCTTGCTTACTATGAGAACAGATTTCCAAAGGCTCAAGAACGGAATTAACGGTAAAAACAATGTCGAGGTAAAATTAACAGCGCATCTGATTTTATGGTTGCATTTTATCATTAATCTGTGAAATATTGCAGACAAGTGACCAGTTCCGAACATTTCTTTACCACACTCTTTCCAGCGCCTGCTCGACTACTCCATCTAAATTTTACAGCCACTTGCTACTTATACCGGTGAGTTGAAGCAAAACATTCCAGCAATAACTGGAAGTAAAAAGAATGAGAATAACTGGTCTGTCAAAAATGCAAAATAGAAATTTCATGAGCACAAGTCATATTCAGGGACTGGTTTGTACATGACGCTAATGTGGCTTTGGATTTATTTCGCAGAGGCCTCTGCATACCTGCTTGGTAGCGCACCTTAACAGCAGCACTGTGTATTGCCGGGCGACGGCGGCCATCAATCTGAATTTCGTGCTTCTCCGCTTCTCTCAATACCAATCCAGAATCTTTCTCTGCTCTTTTATTGTTGTTCGCAATGAAGCTGAGAAACGACTCCTCTACCATCAATTCATTTCCACTCATCTGAATTTTGCGAGTAATATCGGGAACACTATCACAAATTAAGCAAACTTAGTTGCCTTCCTTGACCTGATCTGCGATTTTCTTTCTCACATGCTTTAACAAAATACACACTAATTCATTTTGAACGCGTGGCGACGAAGACAAAGTGCTGAGTTTCCTTTCCACCTGAACCGTCACCAAATGTTCACAAAGAACGGGCTCCTATTTGACCAACAAATATACAAATGCTGAAAAATTCCGTCATTTTTCCTGGCCTTCGTCAGCCTGGATGAGTCTCCGTGACTACACGGTGTCCTGTTTTGCTTGACGGGAAAACTGACTATACCAAGTATTCCAGTCAAAATTCGCGCTAATTGCCTTCCTTCAACTAGCCGTATTGCTAGCTCCTTGCTTTTTGAGAATGACTGGGCACACATTTTACCATATTCGTGTACATAAGGTTTTGGATTTGGTTTCCACCAGTTTCTGAAACCCTCATCAGTCGAAAAACTAGACTATGCAGTTGAAAACGTCCTACAGAAGAAACAAAACAGGGCCTATGTTAAAAGAGCACACATTAACCGTATTCGTAATCTTTGCTGGTTTTCTCGCAATTCTCGAAAATACGAGTTCGTTGTCAACTTAGCCTCAGCTTTGTATTCGTTTCAGGTAGCACCACTAATGGAATTCATGATCGACGTGCTTCACGACAGTAAATCAGAGCCGGACAAGCATAGTGGGAATTTTATAGTCAATCTTAATAGGCCAAGGATAGACATCCATAAAACCAATTGATGTGCGTATTATCAAGCCAAAGTGTGGTTGCACTTTCAACACTTCAACTTCTGCATCAGCATTACAAACATTTCCTACGGCGTCCATGCTTTCAAAAGCACGTACTGTTTCCTGGAGATCAACCTTTGGAGTACCAAGTTCATCTTCGGTCTCAGTAGGATTATCACCCTTCATATTCAGTCAGGGAGGTAATTTCGATAAAATTACACTTGGTATCGAACAATCATCCGTACCAAAATTGCCGCCTATCGCCCTATCCGCCCTGTGCTACGCCTATGGCAGTAGACAGCCATCAGGACAGTGGATCATTTCCCCAGGTAGCGTTGTTCTATTGTTGAGATATCTTGATGAAAACATTCATGTTCATCAGTAAGCATCCCGCGGTTGTCAGGAAAATATCCATATAGGAATGGAGAAAGTCGATCTTTAGAGACACATTGCTGTCGAATTTCTGATAAAGCTTCACAACGTCTTCTACTAGTTCTTTGTATCTCCTTTCTGAAAAGATGTCTCTAACTGCTGCTGGCGCTTTTGATGTAATTCTGACATCCACTTCTAGAAGCTTTCATTGTTGGAGTTATGAACATAGAAATGCTACCCTGTTCTTGGATCAGTCAAAGTAATTTAATTCAATTTTTAGACATTGGCGTCCGGTTTTATAACTGAATAAATAATAGCATGAATAAATTTACTGAAACTTTTATGCAACAGTAGCACAAACTAGACCCCACGAAGTGTAAACTATTTTAAATGTTCCATGTTGCCTACCGGGCTTTTTGTAGCATAGTGTTGTCAGCGTACTTCACCAGCAGCTTGGTAACAGTATTAAAATGTATCAGCAAAGTTTACAGTAAACTCTGTATGATCTGTGTATGATGACATAATACAATGTGATGAAACTTCGCAGGATTCTAGACTTATTTCAGATTTTGTTACAACCCTATTCGATGATATATTGAAAATAAGCTATTTGTACTATTTTCAAACGAGAGTCAATAAAAATTGTTCGTGGTCATATTCGTCGCCAACACTCCAATTTGCTACAGATTTGGACATCGGTAAGTCAACTCCTAAATAATGCCCATAGACGATACAGTCAAAATAACAACTAGGTTGTGTAGATCTTTTAAGCCGGTAGCAATTTCCTTCCCGGTGAGTGCGAATGATGTTCGTTTTCTGCAAAACGGTTAGAAATTTGGTATGTCTGACGGAACGCACCCGGTCATGCTCTGTATCGGGAGACGATGTGCCATATAGAAGATCCAACTTAAACGTCACGGAAGCCAACTTCTGCGCTGACAATCCAACCCAAGACTACATCCAATCCTGCTTATGAGTGGTCACTAGTATGCCATAAGTCATGACTAGCTTCAGTGATACTGTAGAAGGGTTCAGTACTGCTTCTTCACGCCCCCGAAAAACTGTCAGTGAAAAAATTTGCCAGACTAAGTAATGGCTTAACGGCTGTTCCTCACCTTGTTACATCATATGATACATGCTTAAATGTCTGTTGCTGCTTCCTTTAGTTCACGCAAAGCGTAGCTGCACATTTTATCACTTCGACATGTAAAGAATAGGAGCATACCATGGCTAAGACTGTCACAGTTAACTAGTTACTGTGGGAAACAAAATTCTAACACTGCAACTTACGGAAGTTCCAATTTCCAAACTGCTACCCAGTTCATGTCGCCAAAAGTCATTAAAGTAAATGCGTTGTAGTTTTGTGACAGGGCCGGCGGCACGGATTGCTGGGTCGTTTGTGTGAAAGTTTGCATCGATCACAAGGCGCGCGTCAAAGACCAGGCAAGCATCGTTTGCAGCTGGAACAGAAATAACATAAGCCGCAAGTTCGATTTGGGCAACTTCCTTTCGGAATTTGTTCCTGCAATGTTTCTTCAGCACTGACTGTCTATAATAACATACAGGAAGCAGTTCCCCTGTTCGCCGACATAAACTTACTAGATGCCTCAGCATTAGTCGCTATTTATTTAGTCATGTACATTTTGTGTGAACGTGTGGCCATGTGTACGTTCAGCAGAAGGCTATGGACGGAGTACGTATAGGAACACCTTATCTTTGGGCCAGTTCACAGTCCAGGAACAGATCTATCTCATGTGACCCTATGACTGAAAGACTGGGTGTAAGTATCCGTCGCAATTTCCCACAAGTCGAGTTAAGGTGATACCGTTTGGATACATATAAGACGGTAATAAGTCCTAGGTTGTATGATTCGCATCTACACTTGTGCCCCAGCATCAGCGCTAAGATGAAAATTCTTCCCAAATGTGGCAACATGGCGGCCCACAGACGATTAGCACATTCAATATATTGCAAAATATACGTGCTTAAATGTTTATAAGCGAATCTTTTCCTGCACTCATCTTCCGGTTAAATACTATTACCGATAGTACCTAGTTGCGATTCAAAACGGTTACTCCAACTCACCAGAGAATAAGTCATAGTCGACGCGCCGCTTGTCGTAACAAAACAGAGCCTGGAGGAAAACAAAAAAACGAAAAATGTTAACGAATGAAAATGTTTGCTAGACGTTTATGAATACGAAATTAACCCGGATTTATCTCTCAGCGAAATCTCACAAAAGTAGCCAAACCAATTATTTCCGCATAGAGTTTAAAGGGCCTTGATCAGAAATGACAAGGGGAATTCGCATCACGTCATGCCCGAACCTTGAGCGAAACTATCATTACTAACAAAGAAGTGATTTGTAGCCCCTCTGTTACTCACGGTAGTTATTATTGCCTTTTGACCATAGAGATGTTCCCAGGCTCAGTGAGCACTTGTCGTACAGTTTAATGAGTAGCGCGCAAACTACTGGTAAGAGATCCGAATCCCAGAGCCCAATCACATCTGCTACCAGTATCAAAATGAACAAAATGAATCATTCCAGTCTTATCGTCTAGCATGGGTCCAACTCAAACGGCTGAACAGTAGAAGACTGAAAACAACTGCGCAGGGAAAGGGATGAGCAGTCACCAATGTTGTATTCTGGCTCTCATGAACAATTGGAGCACTGCGTCATTTTGCCAGCTAGCGCGCAGCGCCACACATGGAAATGTAGTTGAATCATGGTAAGAGTGACATTTATGTCAACGATACCTCAAATAGTCAACTTAATGGTACTAGCATTCCGATGCGTCTACCCAACAATTCTCTCAGACATGACAGCCTCGTATGCGCTTCCGTGACGCACCCCATATGGATTCCGAGGAAGCGTAGATTGGAAAATTTCTTTGTGTTTTGGCCATCCAATGTATGTGTGATGCGTGTTAACAACCTCGGTTATAGAGAAGTAAGTTGCACCGTTAGCACAAATCATCGCCCAATCTTGAGTGAGGTAAAGCGCAATGACTGAGAATGAGAGAGAAAAAGAGTATACTAATGTATTGGCAAGTGTCGGGTTTTGATCCGGATCTAAGAATATAACTAAGTTTTGCACTACACTGCTCTGATCACAAACTGCTTAGCTAAATGGATGCAGAAAGTATAAGTACACACTCTGGCTGCTGAGGACATTACTGTTGTAGTTCATGTTCTTTCTATAGACCAACCTTGCAAAGGATCCGCAATTTCTGCTGTGAAGAGACAAAGGTGACCTCCTCGATCTGCCGTTCTTCTGGTGCTTTCACCCTCCATCCGTGTAATACATAACCCTTGCATATCTGAACTTCCATCTCGGCCATTTGTGAGTGAACAAAATTTTCAACCACCGGATTATCAAACGTGGATTGCTGATGCAGTTGTAAGTGAAAAGAAAAAGTAGTGGCTCATTATAGTTACGGAGGAAACTGCTCAGATTACTGGCATAAAGTCATCTTCGATCAACTAAATGCGCTCGTTTAAAAACAATACCTTAAGTATGTATGGACCACGCTTCGAAAAAAAACAACATAAAGTATCTCATATTTACAAATCAGCCGCATTGTACCTCGTATGCAAGTATATACTTAGCTGGGAGCTGATAGCAGGCCAGCGCACATGGTACCAAACAACGGATATAAAGCGCGATGCCAATCCATAAAATTCATCATGAAAGCAGCCACGGTTTGCTGTCGATATTATTCCGAGTACATTCACTGTTCTTTGCGCATAGTTCGTCCACGCGGTTTATGAAGCAGGTGTGGATAAAGTTAATTTTTCTATTTGGAAAGATGGAATCCGGCTCATCAAAAATATTAGCTCAGCTAGCATGCATCTGCCGCATGTCTGTATTTCTTTGATGTATTACGGCACGGAAGCCGAGGTCTTTTCCATTTCTATCTAACGGGTATATTGATTATATATATATATATATATATATATATATATATATATATATATATAATCACAGTCTATTAACAGACATTGTGCCATCAGAACCATGGTAGCACAAAAAGAGAAGGAGATGTGAACATGAACTGCAATTAAAAAATATGGGAAACGATTTTTTTGGTTTTACGCACGCCATTTTTTAGGTTTTGTCTTGTTTTGTGAGTTTTGTGTGCATCAAAGGGATGGTAAAATGGCAGAACAACATTGACGCCACTAATGCCTGTTGCGGGCCATGACGTCTAATGTTTCCAACCACTGAGATTCAGTGTCGCGTAGTCCCCAACCTGGAAGACTGACTGGTCCAACTGCCGCCAAACTTGAGCTTGCATTTTTCATTCTCCTTCACGTCATTGGCTGTCCACCGCGGCACTTTTCCAATCTCTCCCTGGGAGTGCAAATAACGCTCGACGTGGAAGGCGATGGGCTGACATACGCAAAACGTGCCCGAGCCAACACTTACGATGTCGGAGAATAGCATCCTGAAGACTGGCACTACTCGCTCCAAGCACTCGGTCTTGGACTTATGTGTTGGTTATTTGGTGTTGCCACCACAACCGAGCAATTCTTCGTAGACAGCGATCGTCGAAGACTGACAGCCGCTTCATATCTTCCGAGTGAATAAGCCAAGTTGTACAGCCGCACAACAGTACTGCACGGACGGAAGCATTGTACCCCCGCCCTTGAGCTTGAGACTGACGTCACGACGACGCCATAGGTGTCTCAGTTTAATGAATGCAAGGCGAGCGTTTGCAATCCGTTGTGAGACTTTATCTCCAACACCGCCACCCGCCGTGATGCAACTCCCTAGATAAGTAAAACAAGAGACTTGCTCCAGAACATGTCTAGCAATGGTGAGCGCGGGTTCAGGCACCTGCCAATCCTGGAGCAGCGCTTTACAGTTTCACGGAGTGAACGATAGGCCGTACTTAGATGCCACAATCGCTAAGCGGTGCAAGTGCTCTGGGCGGATTGTGGGTCGTCCCCCAGCAAGGCGATATCATCGGCGTAGTCCAAGTCCGTGACTCTGTCTCCATGGAGGCGCGCAACGCCGCAATCCTGGACACTTTCCAGTGCTCTTTGGAGAACGTCTTCGATGGTGAAATTGAAGAGGAAAGTGAAACAGGGCATCCTTGGCGAACACCGCTGGTCACGGCAAATGAAGAAGAGTGCGCGCCATAAGCCCTGACTTTGCCCGACGTGTGGTTGTGAAGTTCTTTCAGGATGGTTACAAACTTGTCGGGCACATCTTTCTTCAGTAAACGGTTCCACAACGCAAAGCTATCTACTGGACCAAATGCCACTCGGATGTCCAAAAACACTGCGATTGTTGGCCGCCGGTGGATCTGCCGAAATTCGAGAACTTGCCGAAACGTGCCGATTTGCTTGACTAAGCCGCGGTCTGGACGAAATCCGGCATGTTCTTCTCTGGAAAACTCTCTAGTCGTTGAAAACCTGCTAGGACCGAAACGAAGATTTTGGATGCAACAGAGATTAACGAGATTCCACGGTAGTTGCAGCAATCGGCGGGGGAGCCCTTCTTGTGAATCGGAACAATGACCGATTCTCCCCATGCGTTCGGAACCTTCTCCTCAGTCCAAACTTTCGTGAACAGCGATAGGATTTCGCTAGCAAGTACACTCCCGCCATCTTTGAATAGAGCCGGTGGTAGGTAGTCGGAACCCGGTGATTTGTGGCGTTTCAAAGATTGGATTGCATTTAGAATCTCTGCTTCATTTGGAGGGGGGCTGTGGAGACAGGCCAAGCATCATACATTGGGGCTGGAGGTGTCACATGGGGCTGTGTTAGGTGGGTGAATTGAAGAGCGAAATGCTCTGCCCAGCGACCCAATCGCCTGGGAAGGTTGGTGATCTTTGTGCCGTCTAATTCGCAAATCGTCAGGCTGATAGCGTGGAAATTGCAACCAGCGGCCATGTTGATGTAAAATAGACGGCGGAATTTGCCAACCGATGCATCGGCTTCCATCTCATCAGCTTGTTTTGACCACCAAGGTTCACGATCAGAGCGAGGGCTTGCTATCAGCTGTTGCGTAATAGAACGGCGGTGTTCGTTGTACTTTGCACCAGCAGGTACCGCCCGTCGGTGATCCAGCACTTCCGGAAATCTTCCCGAGATCCAGCTTTTGGGAGGGGAGTGAGCGAGGCCACAGCTGGACAAACCGGCCGACAGCAGGGATTGTTGCAGACTTGACCAGTGTTGATCAACATCCAGAGTGTGAGAGACAGCGAGATTTTCACGAAGCCTTCATTGATACTCTTTCTTCACCATTGGGTCCTCCAACTTGTAGGTCGGGTGTGTTTTGACCTAGACGAACCACCGAAACGCTAGCAAACGGTCGCACAAGCCAGTGCACGATCAGTATCGACGCACGTGGACCAAAATGATCGGCAGTCGCGTTTACTGCCCCGCCACCTGCGACTTATAGCTCTGTGGTCAATCTGTGACCAGGGCTGGCTTGATGATGGGAGGCGCCAAGTGGCGTACTGACGTCCAGGATGACGAAAGCTGGTGCTGGAGAGGAATAGTTGATGACCAGCACACAGACTGAGCAGTCTCTCTCCATTGTCTGAGCGAATATCATCATATCCATGCGGTCCTCCGAGGTGGCGCTCACATGGCAGCAGACGACCGACACGCGCGTTGAAGTCACCTGCCAAAACAATGACGTCTGTTTTAGGAGCCCTTAGGAGCAGCTCATGAAGGTTCTGGTAGAACTGGTCTTTGACGGTGTCCGAGCTACAGTCATTGGGCGCGTAGGCAGATATCACGAAGAGAGCACGCTTTTCGACTCTACATCTGCTAACTTTACAAGAGCCATGGAGCCTCATCGCACGAAGGCGGCTATTGATCGGAATCTAATCAATCAAAGCAATCTCGGCTGTAGCACTGCGGGCGATTCCAGCACCATGAATTTAAAACCTTGGAAAATTCGGAATCACTGCCACTTGGAAATTAATCTAACAGAGTTTTACCATGCATTTGCACACCCGAATCAACTCATGACCGGGGAACCAACATGAAAATCAAATGCTTTTCGGATCAGAGCATACAAGAGCGGTTTTGGATTACGCAATGGCTGTAGAGAGATTACAACTGTGGAATATAAGCCAGACCCCTCACCCGGTGCACTGGGGCAATGGCAACGGAGTTGGTTTACAACTGGTGACAATTGAAATGTTTGCCAAGTCCCATAGATGCTTGGGGTGAAAAGTACATTATAGAAACACAATGTCGACACAAGAACGCTTAATTTGCAGGAGCAAACAAGAAGTTTGCAGTAGCACAAAGGTAAGTAATCCTACCCAGAGTTTGAGGGGGTGTGATACACTTCACTGTGTGTTCTGCATTGCTGTTATCATTTATCATCACTGGTTATATCACCTGTTGTAAACGTGCCCGTGTGTCGTCAAGTCTTATTCTGAATGGTGATACGGTTGGAACATTAAATAGATGGGCTGGGAGGGAAAATACATTTCGTCGACACTCCAGTCGGCTGCACTGCGTGATCAGTTAAAACTGAGGAACCCACAGAGATGTGCTTTGGAAGAGTTTCTAAAGATGGTGACAAATTTGGTTAGGATCTAATACACCATTACGAGATCAACCAGTACACGATGATAACGGCCCCTGTACACTCAGAGTTTCCAACCTAAGTTGGTAAGTGAGGTGAGGCGAACGTCTGATTTTCTTTGTCGCCCTACCTTGCGTACTCTCTAGCGTGGTAAACTGGTGCTCCTACCACGGCTATCACGCTTGGGTAGCGTATCACCCGTGCGGTCTTAAGTACGCTCCAAGCATCTGCGTCAAGATTGGGGCGTCGAACTTTTCGAATGCTCTTCGAAGGAGGTCGGAGGGCTGATTGGTTTACTTTGATGCTTATTCTGTAGACTTCAAATAGTCAAAGTCATCTTGTACGAAGATACCGAGGTCGTTCTATGGGAATAGGGTTGTAGAGTTTGTGTCCTAGCCGATATTTGTGAATCCCTTGATGCTGTATGCTCAGAACTTTGCACTTGACCGCGTTGAACTGCGGCATCTTCTCTCTGAACCGTGTGCGTGAGTATAATCCATATCGATTTGCAGGGCTACGTGATCCACCATTGGAGTGACAGAAAGCCCTAGCATTAGATCAGCGGTGAATGGAAGGGCATTTAAAAACAACGATTCGCGAGGCTTGATCCGGTACGGAGCCCTGATCACCCCGCACTAGACTTCCGTTAGGTTGGATATAATGCTTCGAACCCCTACCTTCAGATGACGTTGAACAAGCAAGTTATCAGTCCAACACAGAACGGCATTTCTGATTTCATAGTTCGGAAGCTTGTGAAGTGGAGGGCTATGATCTAGACTGCCAGCTGCCTTTGAGAAAATCAATTAAACGGTGTGTACTCTTAACTCAGCA